GGTTGAAATTTTTCTTCAGTTCTTTCAGCTTGGGAAATGCTGAGCATGCTCTTCTCTTTTGCTTTTCTAATTCCAGGTCTTGGCACATATCATTATACTTCTTTACTTTCTCTTCTTGAGCTGCCCTTTGAAATCTTACATTCAGCTCTTTTGTTTCAGCATTACTTCCATTTGCTTTGGGTACTCTCTGTTCAAAAGCAAGTTTCAGAGTCTCTTCTGACATCTATTTTGGTCTTTTCTTCCTTTCCTGTCTTTTTAATGACCTTTTGCTTTCTTCATGGATGAGGACACCCCAAAACTTGTCTGGGCTTCAGTCATGAGTGTTCAATATATCAAATCTATTCTTCAGATGGCCTCTAAATTCAAGTGGGATATACTCAAGGTCATATTTTGGCTCTCATGGGTTTGTTTTAATTTACTTCAGCTTCAAGTTGAACTTGCATATGAACAATTGATGGTTTTGCCACAGTCAGCCCCTGGCCAAGTCTGACTGATGATATTGAGTTTCTCCATCATCACTTGCCACAGGTGTAGTTGATTTGATTCCTGTGTATTCCATCTGGTGACGACCATGTGTATAGTCACTGTTTGTTATTTTAAAAAGGTATTTTCAGTTTATAAGTCATTGGTCATACACAATGCTATCATGCTATGTCTGGCATCATTTCTATCACCAAGGCCATATTTTCCAACTATTGATGCTTCTTTGTTTCCATTTTCCCATTCCAATCACCACTAATGATCAATACATCTTGATTACATGTTTGGTCAATTTCAGACTGCAAAAGTTTGTAAAAAAAAATATATCTTCAGTTTCTTCATCTTTGGCTTTAGTGGTTGGTGAGTAAATTTGAATAATAGTTGTATTAACTTGTAGGTGTCTTCCTTGTAGGTGTATGGATAACATCCTATCACTGACAGCATTGTACTCAAGGATAGATCTTTAAATGTTTTTCTTGATGATGAATGCAGCACCATTCCTCTTCAATTTGTCATTCCTGGCATAACAGACCATATGACTAATTCAAAATGGCCAATGGCCAATGTCAGGCCATTCAGCCCACTAATATCTAGGATATCAATCTTTATGCATTTGATTTCATTTTTGACAACTTCCAGTTTTCCTAGATTCATACTCTGTATATTCCATATTCTGATTATTATTGTTTGCAGCTATTTCTCTCATTTTGAGTTGTGCCACATCAGCAAATGAAGGTCCCAAAAGCTTTACTACATCCACTTCATTAAGATTGACTCTACTTTGAGGAGGCAGCTCTTCTCTAGCCATATTTAAATCCCTTCCAACCTGCGGGGCTCATCTTCCTGGAGTATATCAGAAAATGCTTTCCTATTATTCATAAGGTTTTTTAGTGGATGATACATATTTTTTTCTTTTTGTCAGAAGTGAATCTGGCCATGTCCTTCCTCCTAGTCTGTCTTAGTCTGGAAATTGTTTTTCTTTCTTTCTTTTCTTTTTTTTTTTTTGACTATACAAAAGTATTAAATTGTGTGGATCATAACATATTATGGATAACATTTTGACAAATGGAAATTTCAGAACACTTAATTGTGCTAATGAGGAACCTGTACATAGACCAAGAAGCAGTTGTTCAAACAGAACAAAGGGATATTGCATGGTTTAAAATCAAGACAGGTGTATGTCAGGGTTGTATCTTTTCACCATACTTATTCAATTTGTATGCTAAGTAAATAATCTGGAAGCTGGATTTTATGAAAAAGAGTGTGGCATCAGGATTGGAGGACGACTCAGTAGCAAACTGCAACATGCAGGTAACACAACCTTGATTGCTGAAAGTGAGGATAACTTTAAGCTCTTATTGATGAAGATTTAAGACTACAATCTTCCTTACAGATTACACCTCAACATAAAGAATACAAAAATCCTCACACCTGGGTGAATAAGCAACATCATGAAGAGTGGTGAAAAGACTGAAGTTCTCAAAGATTTCATTTTACTTGAATCCACAATCAATGCCTATGAAAGCAGCAATAAAGAATTAAACTTTGTATTGCATTGGGCAAATCTGCTGCAAAAGACCTCTTTAAAGTGTTAAAGAGCAAAGATGTCACTTTGAAGACTAGGTGCCCTTAACCCAAGCCATAGTATTTGCAATCACTTCATATGCATGAGAAAGCTGGAGAATGAATAAGGAAGATCAAAGAAGAAGTGATGGCTTTGAATTGTGGTGTTAGAGAAAAATATTGAAACTACTGTGGATTGCCAGAAGAATGAACAACTCTATCTTGGATGAAGTGTAGCTGGAATGTTCCTTAGAAGTGAGGATGGCCAGACTTCTCTCATACTTTGGTTATGTTGTCCAAGGGACAAGTCTGAAGAAGGGTATCATGCTGGGTAGAGTAGAGGGTCAGAGAAAAAGGGGAAGTTCCTAAATGAGATGAATTGACACAGTGGCTGTGATGATGGACTCAAGCATGGCAATGGTTGTGAGGTTGGCACAGGGCTGGGCAGTATTTCATTCTTTGGCACATAAGGTCACTATGAGTTGGAACTTACTCTACAACACCTAACAACAACAAAATCATGACTATCACATTGCAAATATCCATTCAGTACCTCAGAACTATAAAGCCCCTAGAGAAAGAAAGATCATCAAGCTTTTCTTCTGAGACATCTCTGGGTGAGCTCAAACCTCCAACCTTTTGGTAGCAGCCAACCACATTAACTCGTGTTCAGAGGAGGCAGGCAGCACACTCAGTTGGGATCATTAGAGAAGACTTAAATGAGGAGGAAAAAATTTCAGAAAATAAATGATGACTCATTAACTGTATACTCTTTGGCAGCAGGGAAGATCACATTTGCATTTCAGTATTTGTCAGAACAGGCATGGTTCAATGTTTCACCTATCTTTGGTGTTCAATAAACATAGCATGAGAGTTCACTTCTCAATGCTACAGTGCAATGGTACAGAGAGTTTGACGAGTCTCAAGACTGTGAAAGACCTGACTTAGTTTCTTAGAGGTGCTAGAATAGAAATGCCAGAAATGGGTGGCTTTAATGAACAGTAATTTATTTTCTCACAGAATTCATTGCACAACTCTAGGTGAAGGCTTTTTCTCTGTCGGCTCTAGGGCAAGGTCTTCATCTTTTTTCAGCTTCTGTTCCTTAGTTCCTTGGCGATCTTCATGTGGTGGGTATGTTCCCCTCCATTTGGGCTTCCTTCTCTGTGCCTCATCTGCTCTTTTAACATCTCAAAAGTGACTGGTTTAAGGCACACCTACACTGATATGGTCTCATTAACATAACAAAGAAAGACCTATTGCTAAATGAAATTATATCCACAGACCTAGGGGTTTGACTTATAACACATAGTTTTGGAGGACACAATTCAATTCATAATAGATCAATTTTGACTTGTGATCTGGAGAGATAATAAATTTCGTATTATGAATTTCTGGCCCTTCGGCTTTAAGAAAAATAAAGAATAAAGATCTTCATCTTCATATCAGAGATACATGCTACACTGCCTCTAGGCCACGTGCCTTGTCAGACCACAAATGAAAAAATATCTGGTTTTGTAATAATACATTCTGCCACTCAGCTCTTTACTTCTTTGTATGAGTGTGAGAATGTTGAACAGGGAAGAGCCAACCTAGAGAGCCATCACCAGGAGAAGACAGAAGTGTAACATGGTGGGTGCATTTCATGAAAATAGTGAACAGATGTCTAAAGCTCTGCACTATATGGATATATGGTAACACAGGTATCTTGTAAACATAATATTCAGTAGAAAATGTAAGAAAAGGAATAAGAGCCAGAGGTCATCACATCATCTGTTGTTGTTGTTATGTGCCGTCGAGTCGGCCCCATCTAGGGAAATAAAAATACACCCAAATAACACTATTCAGCACAATGTAAGGATACATGTATAGTCAAAGATATTTATTAGAGTGGGTGCCTTCCATGGATAGTAAAAGAATAAAGAATGAGAATTGGGGTGAAGGAGAAAATAAAATAAAACAAAGAAGGACCTTGAAAAGATCACTGAAGAGGTGTGTGATTAATTCACACTTTGTTTTGGACATCAAGAAAAAGGGATGGGGGGATATGAAATGAGGTTTATCTTCAAATGTCAAAAAAACTAAATGCAATAAAAGATTCACACAATAATCACTGAGAGCAACTATGTAAGTTTTACAATTATTATAATCACTGGCAAACAAAAAATACAGAAATAACAATATAATATGCAAAGTAAAATTTATGCATATTATAAAGTTCATTTTTTGGGGGCCTCAACTACATGGCTCAAAGTGACATTGGGTGCATTGGGATTAGCAAGAAGAGTGGGGCTATTCATTATAATGGGAGCTCTGGTAGCATAGTGCCTAAGGCACTTGACTTCTAACTAGAAGGCTGGGGTTTCAAACCCACCAGCCACTCCTGGGAAGGAAGGTTGGGCAATTACTTCCATAGTGATACTGCCTCAGAAACCCAAGGAGGGGTCACTATTAGTTGGGTCTGACTCGACGGCACATAACAACAACAACCACCACATTCATTATAATAGGAAGAGATAGAGTACACAGGATTCTACCCACAGGTCTTCTACACAGAAAAGCATCCCACAGCTCAGGAACCAATACAGTACTTGAGACTATTATCTAAAGCATTACATGATATATAAGATCATTATTGAGTAGGAATCCAGTAGTGACATTTGCATTTGAGACTAGTAGTTACGTTTATTATGCCTTATCATTAAAAATGTACATTCTAGTAAATTATATGTCTATGTATTCAAAAACTAAGGAGTAATGTCTACCTTGAACATATCAGTGAGAATATTCCCCAGAACAGCCACTGACAGAAAAATATGAATAAACAGAAAGAGATTGTTTACTTCTCTATACAATGAAGGATCCATGGTTTCACATGGAGTGAAATTAGAATCAGAATTTTCCCTCTTTCTCACTGTTTCCAAGTTGAAAACTAGATTCCAATTTAAATTAAATGAGTGCTAAGAACACTGTGCCTTTACTGCTCTCAACACAGAATTCCATTTGCTATTCCCTTGTTCTAGCTGCTGTTTTTTAAACTTATCTTGAAAAGAATTGTGGTTATCTTCATCCTCTGTCTCTGAGATGATCTCCATTTTCTGAATGATGAGTTTAATGAGCTCAAACTGTTTTTCCTGAAGAGAAGTGAGATCCTTTAACCTAAAAGACATATACATACATACATACATACATACATATATATAATGAATTGTTTTCCAATTATATTTTCAGCCCCTCTGAGTATAGGAGGGCCTAGGTATGACAAGTGTTCTATATCAGATTTATTATGCTCAGGTTATGTCCTCAGGGGAGACATAATCCTTATTAAAAAAAACCTCACTGCTGTCAAGTCGATTTGACTCATAGCGACCCCTCCTTGGGTTTCTGAGGTAGTATCTCTATGGGAATAGATTGTCCAGCCTTCCTTCTGAGGAGTGGCTGGTGGGTTTGAACCACCAGCCTTCTGGTTAGCAGTCAAATGCCTTAGGCACTACACAGAGCTCCCATAATCCTTATGGAATACATGTTTTTGAAGTTTGCCAAAATAAATCATCACAGAATTTTAGAACTGGGTAGATCCCTAAAAATTTCCAAGGCAACAGAAAGTTTAAGTGATTTTTCCTGATATTACACTATTAGTTAATAGCTAGATTATTTTTTGTTCTCATTTTAAAGATTAAAAAACTGTTGCACAGATTGGTTAAGTAACTTGCTCAGAGTCACACAGTAAGTAGTGGAGTAGGTCTTTCAACTCAGATAAACTAATCCTAAAGCCCTCATGCTTTACAAGCACACATTTGTATATAGCTTCTTCCTGGATTCTCAAAAGCCAAGAACTTCAGAACTTTGATGCATGAAGTATGAATGCAGGTGGTTCATGAACACATTTTAAGTCATTGCCCCTAATATTAAGGAAATCAGCACTTTAATTTTCATTTACTTACTTCTTAGAAGGCAAAGTGATTGATCTATAGCAGTAAATAAGTTGTTAGCTCTAAAAAATGTCTCCTGATTTTTGACATACTAGCATCATCAATAAAGCATGACTTAATATGTTGTTATTAGCTGCTGTTGAGTCAACCCTGAACCCACGGCAATCTCATGCCAACAGGATTGGACTGTGGTGATCTATAGGGTTCCACTGGCTGATTTTCAGAAGTAAATCACCAGAACTTCCTTCTACATCTGTCTTCTTTTGGAAGCTCCTCTGAAATGTGTTCAGCATCAATGTAACATGCAGGCCTCTAATGACAGACAAGTGGAGGCTGAGTTGGCAGCTGAAACAGCCGGGAGTCAAACTTCAGTCTCCCTCAGGGAAGGTGAGAATTCTGCCACTGAGCCACTACTGCCCCCGGTGACTTAATATACAAGATAAATAAACAATATAACCTTATGTCATTCATCATTATTTAAGAATTTTAAGTTTCTCAAATATAGATAGAAGGAAAAAGACAGACCTGTACTTCTGCTTCAATATTTCTGTTTCTAAAGATGTATCGACATTTGGTACTTCTTGTCTTGTTTCTTGGATGGAGAACATACAATGAAATATACACTGTGAGATAAAATATAATAGTTATTCAAATCGAACTCAATTCAGGAAACATTTCTTGAATATGTGCCATGACTCAGTCATTGCGCCAATTGCATAAATAGTCACAAGACAAAGCTTTGAACCTCGAGGAGCTCAAAGTCTGTTACAAGAAACAGGAATGTGAAGAGTTCTAAAACAAAGCCATATATATTATAGTAAAAGAAAGTGCAAGATCTAGAAATAATATAGAAGAAGGAGTAACCTGGGGTTGGTGATTGTTTAGGAAGGCCTTGACTGAATCACTTTATAATTCCCAGGAAAAACATTCATTGTAAGTGGAGTCTCTCCATATAGGATTGTTCGTTAACTCGTACAAGCTGCTCTGCATCGTTATGCAACACCAGAGTCAACCAAAAAAATTTCACATGGGGAAATTTCCAAAAACTTATCTCATTAATTTTTGTTTTAATTTAGTGTTTTTAAAACCATAGATAGGATCCCTGATGGCACAATGATTAAAGTGCTCGCCTGCTAACCAAACGGTCAGCAGTTTGAACCTACCAGCTTCTCCAGTAGAGAAGGTTAGGCAGTCTGCTTCAGCATTGGAAACTCTATGGGGCACTTCTACTCAGTCCTGTAGCCTTGCCATGAGTCAGAATTGACTCGACGGCAGTGGGATTAAATATGGACAGACTGGAGAGGCTCAAAGGCAGATGTGAAATGACCAGTAATCAGGTATTTCTAAGGAATCCAGGCAAGGGAAGGTAGGAATTTGTACAGGCCATCCTGGAGGTCAAGTGGACAAAACAAGGGTACTGAGCGGACATGAGCGGAGACAGGGAAAGTAGGGAGGTGTTAAGGCTCCTGAGAGGCTGGGTGCACAGGCAAATGAATAGCGTTGATATTAATTGAGCTAAGGAACTCTGAAGAAGGACCGGCTTCTTTCACTTTTTCTACAACAGGTGTGGGGAGGAGTGGAGCATGGGAGGAGTGAAGACCATGAGTCTGTTTTCAATATGCTGCATAGAGGCCTGTGAGACATATAAATGGAGATGTCAGCGAGGTTGCTGGATGTATGGGTCTGGAACTCAAAGGAGAATTACTTGCTGACCATTCTGTGGTTAGGTAGTAATTTCAACTATGGATATGAGTGAAATCAGGGCAGGAGTGTAGATTTAGAAGGCAGTCTAGCCCAATGCTCAGATTGACTTCATCGTTTTATGATTACACAGAGGAAAATTAGCCTGCAACAAACTCAGAAAGAGCACTCATTAAGGCTGGGGGAATCCAAGGCATGGTCAGCATTAGCATCCAGGTCTTCTGACACTTTAGTATACGCTTTTTCCCATTATCATGCATTATCCCATTATCATGGCTTCTGCTTAGACTTTTTCTTTTTAATTTTTATTGTGATTTGGGTGAAAGTTGACAGAGAAAATTCACTTTCCATACAGCAGTTCATATACATTTAGTCTCAAGTCATTGACTACAATTTCCCACAATGTAACAACTCTCTTCCCACTTCCTCCCCAGAGTTACCTCTTCCCTGTGTTCTTCCCTCCCATGCACTCCTGCAACCTGGAGCTGTCTCCCTCTGCAAATACTGCCCTTCTGTTCTCCTATGCTTGATCACTCCAAGTAGTGTAGCTACCTGATTCAGCCCATATGCCTGTCTGCTATTTGGCTGGAAGCCACAGGAGTGAGTTCAATTCCAGACCTGAAGAGCAGCCAAGGTCCATAGTCTCAGGAGTCTCACCAGGCTCTATCAGACCAGCAAACTTGGTCTTTTTTTTTTTTTTTTTTTATGATTTTGAGTTTTGTTCCACATTGTTCTCCCACTCTATCCAGAATCTCCTGCATAGATCTCCGAGTGGTTGACCGTGGTAGTTATTGATAAGAATCATTAGTTAACATCTGGAATCTTTACACAGAACACCATCTAGTTCTTTTGGGCTCAGGGTCATATATTCTACCTAGAGTTTGATCATTTTGTGTATTTCCTATAATGCTTAACCATGCACACACACACACCTGCACAAAAATATTAGTATGTGATAAAGAAAAACAAAGTAAACTTGCACACACACAGACACACACACAAAGAACCACTTGAATGGCACAGCTGAATCACACACCCACCTGCTCTCCCAGGGACGTGGTGTGTATTCAACACAGATGTTACAGGAGCCTCCTGGAAGAGGAAAGCAAATGTCTCCCTCTCCCTTGCCTATCACCTTCACTTCAACTATTTCTTTTCCACAAGCAGAGCAGACACAAAGTCTGTAAAAGGGTATCCTTAAGGACAGCACAAAATGAGTGCCAAGTAGGATGATGTTACTTATGCAGGTAATTGCCACACTGCACTTACTATTAACCCTCCCTGGTATCTGGGTCTGTTGGGGTACACGGTGATGCTCGGCTGATCCACTTTGCGTAGGAACCAGATCGGCAGCTTCTTCTCTAAGCTGGTATGAAGTTTCACCTAAAATTCATTGTGAGTTATTGAAACATTAGTTAGCATCTGGAATCTTTACACAGAACAGAGTAATCACTAATACAGCAAAATGAAACCTGACTCATATATGCTGAATTATGTCCAAGCAGCTGGGCTGGATGGGTCTCCTGAGCCCCAGCCCCCAGTCATCTGCCCCCACCTCTCACCTCATCCACCGATAAGACAGACAAAGGTAGCAATCTGCAGCTGTTGGGCAAGTTTTTTTAAAGAAGAAATTCAATTTATATCAGCAGATAGTTATTGTACAGGGAAGTGGGAGAGACACTGGCGATAGAAAGAAGAAAAAGACTTACTTTTTCTTCTTATTTACAACACTCTTGGAGTGGACGATACTGGGGAATGGGAGTGTTTTAACAAAAGAGAGGAAGCTGGGAGAATATAAAGACAACCAGTAAAAGTCTTAGAACTAGTGTGTCTAAGAGCATTTTAGAAATCTTTAATGCTGTGCTATTAGGTGCAAAATAGTTTATATATGATGTCTTTTAAGAATAATGTGTGTTTTCTAGAGATAAAGTCTTTTGTCTTGTTTAATAATTTTACTTTGCATTTTAATTCTTATATTGTCAATCTTTCTGTGTGTTTGTCAAACTTATTTTTAACCTTTCATTTTTTTAATAGTCCTTTGTGTCTGTTGTTTATATGTGCTTATTGTAATCACCATGTAATAAGATTTTACTTTCTAATCTGAGACACATGCTTTTTAATACAGTCCTTTAACTGATGTATATTGATAAGTAGTGAGAGGGTAAGGACATCCCTGATCACACTGTTTAAAACTATAGCCCTCAGCCCCCATATAGCACACTCCCTATCTGTCTTCTCTGCTATTTTCAGTGTTTATCACCATTTAACATATTATATATTTTCTTTATTACTTAGTGTCTTTGGTCTCCCAGAAGAACAGAAGCTACATATCTTTTCCTGTTTTCTGTTGAATCTCCAGCTCCTAGAATAGTGCCTGGCACATAATAATTTCTCAATAAGTATCTATTGAATGAAAGAATTACAATTACTATACAGTTTGATCCTAATTCCATCATCCTTTTTGTTCTTATATTTTGTTTCATTTCCACTTTCTTGCTGTTTATCGTATATGTGTTTATGTCTCTATACTTATAATTGTGCTTGTTGTTGCTGTTGTTATGTACCGTCGAGTCAGACCTGACTCACAGCAACCCCTCCTTGGGTTTCTGAGGCGATATTACTTATGGAAGTAGATTGCCCAACCTTCCTTCCAAGGAGTGACTGGTGGGTTTGAACTGCCAGTCTTCTGGTAGCAGTCAAGTGCCTTAGGCACTATGCTACCAGAGCTCCCATAATTGTGCTTATACAATTAGTATAATATATATACTAATTGTGCTTGCTTTTATTCTTTTTGATTCAAAAGATTAACATCCTATTACTGATTATATTACTTGATATCTGTAAGTTGATGTAATTCATAATCAAATCAATATTCTATAATAACAAAATCAAAGAAGAGTAGTAACTTTTAACTCTCTCCTGTAGAAATTAGAGATTTAAATGTTCTTTTATTTCTTTGTTCTTCTTTCCTCTACTTCCTGCCTTTTACAACTAAGTCTGGAAGGAGAACCTATGATTGCTAGACTTTTTTAAAATACAAAATTTTCTTCTGCTAAATATCTTATATTTTTACACCTAATATATAATTATTACACATATATCTATTATTACACATATGTAATTATTCACACAAGTTTGATTGTTTAATTGGAGTCAGTGTTTACCACCATTGCTTTTATACTAATTCCTTAGAGTTGTTAACTTTGATTTATTTCTTACTTGGCCTCTGTGGATCCTAATAGATCATTTTTGGAGACCTAATAAGTCTAAAAATAACTCATTAGCCTTCACGCATGAGTAATAACTTAGTTGGCATATAATTCTTGATGTTGTAACATTTTGCCTTCAAAACTCCTTGCCATCTCCTCCATCAAGACCTGGCCTTTTATATTTCAGAGAATTTTGAAGTAGGCATGTTTTTTTGTTCCTTTGATTTATGCTTGAGAATTTCTGCCATGTTTTTCCCCTTAATCCTTAATCATCAAAACTGTTGTGAAGATATGCTGAGGAGTGAGTCCCTTTTCATTAATTTTACCGGATATATAGTGAGCGTTCTTGATCTGAAATTTCACTTTAACTTCTAATAACTTTTTCTTTTTCGCATTATTTGGGAATAGATACTAGTTAAAATTTCAATCCTACTCTCCTTATCTTTATATAAATTTCCCTTCATCTCTAAATTTTTAATGTAGTTTAGATATTCTTAAGTGCAACCTTCACATTGTCAATTGGATTTTCTTTATCATCACTTCTTCTTTTCACTATCTCAAATTTAGATTTTAAAGCTGCTATTATATTTGAGATTCTCTTCCTGTTTTTCTTATTATTTCATCTAAGGCTCTTTCATTTCTACCTTCCTCTTGATTTTTCTCTCCTTTTAACTTCCAGATTAAAAAAAAAAATGCTAAGTTTTCTTATGTTTTATTGACAATAAGGAGTAGAAGTGTTTCTTTCCTTTTTATAACAAATAATTTTTAGGGTCTTCTTTTTCTCTTAGCTCTTTAGGGTAATATTCCTTTTCCCTTTCCATATTTATTTTTCATAGGTCATACATTATTATTTACCTACTCAAAGTTATTTAGGAAGGATCAATTTAGGCACAGTGTTTGATACAGTACATGGTGTACCCTGACTCTGCTCACTATCTACATTAGAGCTGGTGGATTGTCTCTTTTAAATAGAGTCTCAAAGGAAGTTAGCAAGCAAAGCTCTGATTCTAATCTTGGTCTTGTGGGATCCACTGAATGTGACCATACTGAAGTAAGGAAGCATCTTTGCCTCCTCTAACTATTGGGTTTGTCACATTGAAGATTAAGATGTACTCCATGAGTTTTCTTTCCTTATTATAGATAGACAGGTAGTTAGAGAGAGAGAGAGAGAGAGTTTATGAAGTGTCTACAGCTGCCAGCATAGTGCTAGTAGTTGGGAATACCAATACTGAAAAAACAACCAAAGAGCTCCCAGATACTCATAATCTGTCTCTGAGGAACTTTCAGTTTATGCAATGAATACATCCCCCAGCATGCACTGCTCCCAGGGATCTTTCTATCTCTACCTGAGTCCCAGCTGACTTTCTGAGAGGACCAAATGTCCGCATGTAAAATGCATTACTACCTGTCTCTTCAGGTCCTGGGTTCTGTTGCATCCTAAGACTTAGGCTTTTGAATGGATGCAGAGAGTTGATCAAATAACAACTCATGGAAAATAGGAGAATGGATTCCTGGTTTTCTAGGCAATGCTGTTCTTGATTCGAAATGGGGAACAGATAATATGGAAATACTTGCTTTGGCTGTCTCTTTCACAACTCTTTATGCTATACTGTTTCAGGGAGCAGAGAAAACAGAATACAGGATTATGCTTTCCAAACTAATCCCACTGACACTGCAGTTTGGTGGTCTTTCTCCCAGAAGTTTTATCTAGTGCTGTTGCTCATTTTCTTCTTTTTATTATTTCCTTCATATTTTCAAGAGTTTTTAGTTTTTAGTTAAGAAGCACCACTAAAATGCCTGCCATGAGTGTTTACATACCCCTTTTCCTCTCCTTATCAACCATACCTTGAGTCCACAACTCCATCTTTGTTTATGTAATAACCTGTCATTTGCTCTTCTCTTCTCCAATCTTTCCCCACTAAGCCAAGATAGTAACAGACCATCTTAAATACCATTATCATTTTGTTACTATTCTTCGTAAGGGTTGATAATAACTATCCACTTACTATCAAAATAACCTGAAGCACTTCATCTTTAACTGTTCTTTCTTTCAAAGCTAAGTTTTATTTTTCCTTTGTTATGTTTTAACAAAACCCTTCATTATCTGGGGCAACCTCATTACCCTCTAACATGAGCCATCCTCCCAGTTACTGCTCCATAGCCATGGTCCCCTAGCAAAGGCCTTTGGACCTTTGCTCATGCTCTTCTTTCTAGAATAGCCTCCCTACCTCTCAAATCCTTCAATGTCCATCTCACATGTCAGTCCTTCCATGTAGTATCCCCTTAGTTATTTTTGCATTTACTTAGTTTTGTGCCTCATAATTTAGCCAATTAGTTCTTATGTTTTTGTTCTTTAATGCCCCAGTCTCTTTGGATGGTTGTTGTTAGGTGCCATGGAGTTGGTTCTGACTCATAGCAACCTTATGTACAAGAGAACAAAACATGGCCCAGTTCTGTAACAGCCTCACAACAATTGCTATGTTTGAGCCCATTGTTGCAAGAACTATGTCAATCCATCTTGTTGAAGATCTTCCTCTTTTTCCTCACTCTCTACTTTACCAATCATGATATCCTTCTCTAGGGACTGGTCCCTCCTGATAACATGTCCAAAGTACTGGAGACCAAGTCTCACCATTCTCATTTCTAAGGGGCATTATGGCTGTATTTCTTCCAAGACAGATTTGTTCATTCTCTGGCAGTTCATGGTATAATCAATATTCTTTTCCAACAGCATAACACAAAGATCAGTTCTTCTTTGGTCTTTGCACTGGTGCCATGTAATATGCAAGCTAAGTCACAAAGTATCATGTCTAAGAGCATGAACTTTGAAGTTGGACAAGTCCTGGGTTCAAATCCCAGCTGTTTCACTTATGAAGTGACTTAATCACTCTAAGTTATCTGTTTCCCTGTATTTTTAAAATCAGGATAAGAAGAGGATCTTTGTAATACAGTCTTTATGAGGATTAAATGAGATTATGGATATAAAATCCTCAACAGAATGCCTGGCACAAAGAAAGCTCTCCATAAACAGTTGTTACTATTGCTGTTACTATTACTTCATACATAAAATGGTTTTGAGTTGAATATTGATATGTCATACTCAATGTTTAATTGGTGTGCTCTGTACATTAAACTTACTAATTAAAGGATTACATCCCTTTAATTCCTTTGCATTCTTATGATAAATTACACTGTACTTTGCACATACCATGTACTGGAATATTGTTTTTTTTAAAAATACAAATGTCAATGTATAGATGAATGAATAACAGAGAAGAAAGTAGTGTGACATATGTGTGAAGAGAAGGCTATATATCTTAGTAAGAGTTTTTTCTTTATCTATAATGGGCCTTGGGAGCTCTGGTAGCATAGTGGCTAAGACACTTGCCTGCTAACCAGACGGCTGGCGGTTCAAACCCACCAGCTACTCCTCGGAAGGAAGGTTGGGCAATCCTACTTCCGTAGTGATACTGCCTCGGAAACCCAAGGAGGGGTCGCTATGAGTCGGGGCCGACTCGACGGCACATAACAACAACAACAACAATAATGGGCCTTTAAACTGGTCCTGCTTTCTGAATGCATGTATTCAATTGTCCATGAGATGATTTTGAAACATGAAAGATTCTCATTCAAATTTGAGATTTAGAAACAAAGTAAGCAAGAATGTAGAAAACTAAGATGACGGGGAACTACCTCACAAGATTCAGCAGCCAAAGGCCCATCCTAAAATTTCAACTCTAGCAAATTTCAAATCAAATCATTTAGCGAAACGAGAGAGTGAGACACTGAGTGAGAGAGAGAAAGAGAGAGAGAGAGAGAGTGTGTGTGTGTGAGAGAGAGAGAGAGAGAGAGCTATCATGGTAAAAATTTCAGTATAAATACACTGAGGAGACCTTGCAATTCCATGGCCAATGTATGAAGAAGTCCTTTAAACAGTTGGGCTGTGACAGACATATCACTCAGTGCCTGGGATGTTCTTGGCCCAGCAGCATCTGGGTGGCCACAAGCTGACATGAAAAGAGGCCTTCATGGGTAATTTCCCAGTTCTCTGCTTAGATTTTTCTGGGTCATTTTTTCTTTATCATGTAGTGGTTCTGTTTTTGTGTCAACTTGGCTAGGGCTGGTTGAGTGGCTGGGCAGCTGGATGTAGTATTCCCCATAATGAGACTGGTAATCAACTCCATGGTGGAATCTACCACAAGCAGCTGAGTAGCTGCCTTTGGGTAGTGGTCTGCTTCCTGTATATAAGCAGTAGCTTTGGGAATGGTCTCTAGTTTATGGCACGCTTGGACCCTGCATGTAGCCATATTGTTGTTCAGCAGCCTGCCATGCTCTGCCAACCTTGGGACTTAAATGGACTTCCATTAATGACCTGTCAATCTTGGATTTGTCAGCCTCAGCAGCCAGCAGCTGTCTGAGTGAATAAATGCCTCTAACTTCAGTGGGCCAGGAGCAGGAGGCAGAGCTGGACCCCGAGGTTGAGGGGCTTTCACTCAGCCCCTAGAGCCTGGCACTTTGAACTTGGACTTAAAGCCTCCAAACTGTAAGAGAATAAACTCCTGTTTGTTAAGGTCATCCCATTTGTGGTATATATTCTTGTCAGAGCAGCACTAGGTAACCAGAAACATGTTATCATTTTTTTTTTTTTAATCATTTTGAAGAATAGACCAGAGAACATACAATCAGGCATGGTATGTTACTTCTCAGTATTGAGAAAATATCTGTATAAAATTACTAAGTTCTCAGAAAATTAGTTAATCTTATATATGAACAATTACAATGGTGCTAATTTCTATAAGTGTCAAATATAACAGTCACCTGCATAGCAATCCTCTTCAATAATGCATGTTTTTGTACCTCAGCAATGTCACCAACTGCCAAACCAATCTGCAGGATAACATAGCATTGAATCATTACCAGTTTTATGGTTTATCTAAGAATACATGTAAAGTCTTGCTGGTTAACTTTTGACAGGTAAGTGAGGGAGTGGGCATGTAACTTATCAATAATGAGGTCAAAATGCTTTAATAATACACTTGAAAGAAAACTGAAAAACCTATATACTTTTGCAACAGGGATGTCCACATTGGCGGGTCTAGTAATCCTAAGTGTTATCATGAAAACTTGACAGACTCAATATAATCCGGAATTCATTTCACTTTAAAATAAAAATATGTGATACATGTTGGAGAGGACAGGAGTAATGAGATATCAAATGCAAGTTGGTTCAGCCATACAACATGGTGGAAAACTTCAGGAGTTTATGATCTAAGGAAGATAATACTGACTTGACAACATGGGAAAGTTAAAACATTAAAGTGAAGAAACGAGTTTGTATCTTGTATATGTTGACAGGGAAAGTTACACTTCAAGGGTAGGTGAAGGTCTTGTAAAAACCATTTAGGAATCTATGGTAGTTAGAATTAGGTGAGGGGAAGCTATTAGCTCAGTTCTGTTTAATACATATTAATTAGTTACAGCCACTCATGTATTTGTTATCTACTTAGTACCTGCCAGTGCTGAGCCTGTGTCCTGCATGCTGTAACCAGAAAGGAGAAAACCAGTCTTGCTCTCAAGGAGCTGAAAGTCCAGTTAACTACATGGGGCAAGAGTTCTACTTGGGTCACCACTCTATACCCAATGCTTAGAACAGTGCAGGACACATAGTAGGTACACATAATATTTGCTTTGTGAATGAACAGTGAAAAGAGTAATATTCCATGGCCTGCAAATTAGAGCACTGACAGCCATATATAGTTGGCAGGTATGTTTTATTTGCCACTTTAATGTTTTGTTTTAAGAACTTGTAAGGCTTTAGGGGAAGTTTTTTCTAGTTTACAACAGGTCCAACAATGACAGAGCCACACACACTGCCTGCCACAACCCAGCACTAAATGAATGTTAAACAAATGCATTTCCCCCATGAAGGAAGATTAAGGAGGCTAAAATAATTATTATTACTGTATTTTCACAGTGACTAAGGCATTTGACTGCTGACCAGAAGCTTGGCAATTCAAACCTACCAGCCACTCCACAGAAGGAAGACTGGGCAATCTACTTCCATAAAAATTTACTGCCTCACACAGATTAGCAAATCACTATTGAAGAAAAAGAACAAAGTCGGTCTCACATTGTCAGATTTCAAAACCTACTATACAGCCACAGTAGTCAAAACTACCTGGTATTGGTACAATGACAGACACATAGACCAATGGAATAGAAGTGAGAACCCAGAAATAGATCCATTGACCTATGGTCAGCTAATCTTTGACAAAGGGCCACAATCCATTAAATGAGGAAGAAAATGTTTGTTTAATAAATGGTGCTGGCAAAACTGGATATCCACCTGCAGAAAAATGAAACAAGATCTGTCCTCACACCACACACAAAAACGAACTCCAGATGGATCAAAGACTTAAATGTGAAACCTAAAACATAAAGTTCCTCAAGGAAACAATAGGGACAAATTTAGGGGCCCTATATATGGCATAAATAGACTATCAAGCATAACTCAAAATGCACAAACAGCAGAAAAGAAAACAGATAATGGGAACTTCTAATAATTAAATTTTTATGTGCTTCCAAAGACTTCTCCAAATGAGTCAAAAGTGAACCTACAGTTTGGGAAAAAAAAAATTCGGCAATGACATATCTGACAAAGGACTTATCTCTAGAACTTATAGAAAACTCCAACATCTCCACAACAAAAAGACAAATAATCCATTTAAAAAACATGAAGACATGAATGAACACTTCACCATGGAGGATATTCAGGTGGCCAACAAACATGTGAAGAAATGCTCATGATCATTAGCCATTAGAGAGATGCAAATCAAAACAACAAGAAGATACCATCTTGCTCCAGCACTAGTAGCAAAGTTCAACAAGAAAGAAAACAAATGCTGGTGAGAATGTGGAGAGATTGGGACTCTCATACACTGCTGGTGGGACTGTAAAATGGTACAACCATTGTGGAAAGCAGTATGGCAACTCCTTCAAAAGTTGGAATTAGAAATACCATTTGACCCAGCCTTTCCATTAGTAGGTATATAGCCTAAAGAAGTGAGAGTCAGGACAAGAACAGATACATGTACACCCATGTTCATCATAGCAGTATTTACAATAGCAAAAAGATGGAAACAACCTAGGTGCCCATTAACAGAAGAATCGATAACCAAACTATGGTATATACACACAGTGGAATACTATGCAACCCTAAAGAATAATGTAGAATCTGCAAAACACCTCATAATGTGGATGAACTTGGACAACATTATGATGAGTGAAATAAGTCAATCACAGAAGGAGAAATATTGTATTTTCCATTATTGTAAAAAGTTAAGGAAAGGTTTACATATGGAAGGAAATTTTCTTTGTTGGTTACCAGGGGTAGGAGGGAAGTGGGGGGGGGCGCAGAACACTGTTAGATAGGTAGAGACAATTTATTTGTGTGAAGTGAAGGGCAATGTATCAAATGTGAGTGATCAACACTGTGGCACTGAGGAAGAAGAAGACATTGAGAGGTACATGGGAGGTACAGACAACAAAGACGAACCCTTGTGCACATACAATACTGTGTTGTCAGTGAAGGCAAACATGGATCAAGGGGTGGATAGACGGGTGGACAGGCTGAAATCTTAGGTATGTCAATGCAGTGGGGAGTGTGCCCAAGACCATGCGTTGGCAGACAATGTTTTTACAAGTGTATTGGTATGTTCTGTAAGAATTCCCAGGTATATAGTAGAGCTGACCAGGGACAAGGTTGTAGTCACTTCTTGGGCAGAGCCAGCTACCCAGAGGGACCGAGTAGTTGGACCTGTGGGCTCAGGACCATAGTTGCAGGGGACATCAAGTTCAACTGGCATAACATACTACACAAAACATTGTTCCAACTCCTACTTTGGCAAGTAGTGGCTGGGATCTTAAAAACTTGCAAGTAGCCATCTAGATGCAGCAATGAGTCTCTCTTCATCCAGAGTAGATAAGAATGAAGACAACAAAAGATGCATGGAAACAATTAGTCCAAATGACTGGTACACCATGCAATCCTCAGACTATATGACTATGAGACCAGAAAAACTAGACAGTGCCTGGCTACCACTGTCAAACACTTGGAGGGGGATCTATGTAGGAGATCTTGGATAGAGTG